GGAATTGTATGACACCATTGAAAGACCAAACTTACCAATCATAGGCATACAGGAAGGAGAAGAATCTTAGGATACTGGTATAAATCAGATCTTCAACAGGATTGTAGAAGAAAATTTCCTAAAACTAATGAAAGATATGCCCATACAAATACAAGAAGCATATAGAATACCGAACAGACAGGACGAGAAAGGAAACTCTCTACATTACATGTACAAAACAAAGAGACAATACTGAAAGCTGCAAAAGAGAAACAACAAGTCACATATAAAGGAAAACCCATTAGGATTACAACTGACTTTTCAGTGCAAACTATGAAAGCCAGAAGAGCCTGGACCAAAGTATTCCCAGTTCTAAATGACCACAGATGCCAACCCAGATTACTATACCCAGCCAAAATGCCTACTATGGTTGAAGGGGAAAGAAAAATCTTCCATGTCATAAATAGGCTGAAGGAATTCATGTCCACAAAACCAGCCCTTCAGAGAGTTCTGGAAGCAATATGAAGAGGTGAAGATAGGAATGACTATACCCAAAGGGTTGCAGAAAGGAATTCAATGAAGGTATAACTGTGGAAAAGTACAGATATATCAAGAATGTAAACAGAAATAAAAATGACAGGATTCAATACCAATCTTTCATTAATAACTTTAAATATTAATGGACTGAATCCCCAGTCAAAAGACGCAGACTATGTGAATAGATTAAGAAACAAAACCCATCTTTCTGTTGTCTGCAAGAAACTCTTCTCACTTTCAAGGACAGGCACTATCTTAAGGTGAAAGGATGGAAAAAATATACCAAGCGAATGGTACTAAGAAAAAAGCAGGTGTTGCAATTCTAATATATGACAAAATAGACTTTAATCAAAAAGTAATCAGAAGAGATAGAGAAGGCCACTTCATTCTGATCAAAGGAACAATACACCAAGAAGATATTACAATCATGAACATCTATTCACCAAACTCTGGTGCACCCAACTTCATAAAAACAATACTACAGGACTTTAAGATCCAGATCAGTCCCAATTCATTAACAGTAGGGGACTTCAATACCCCACAGTCACCATTAGATAGGTCAACAGGGCAGAGAGTTAACAGAGAGACATATGAATAAAACAATACCTTATATCAAATGGACCTAACAGACACCTACCAAGTATTCTACCCAAGCACCAAAGGACACACTTTCTATTCAGCGCCCCATGGAATCTTCTCCAAAATTGAACATATATTGGGGCACAAAACAAGCCTCAACAAATACAGAAACATTGAAATAATTCCATGCATTCTATCAGACTACAATGCAATAAAGCTTAAAATCAACAACGGAAGAAACCCTACATGAACCCATGGAGATTAAACAATACATTCCTGAATGATGAATGGGTCAAAAGAGAAATTAAAATATAAAAGTAAATACAAAAGCCAGGTAAAGATACAACCCAAAAGAAAACTATAGACCCATATCCTTAATGAACATAGATGCAAAAATTCTCAACAAGACATTTGCAAACTGCATACAGACACATATCAAAAAGATCATCCATGCTGGGCGTGGTGGTGCACACCTTTAATCCCAGCACTAGGGAGGCAGAGGCAGGCAGATCTCTGTGAGTTCAAGGCCAGCCTGGTCTACATAGTGAGTTCCAGGCCAGCTGGGGCTACAGGGAGGCCCTGTCTCAAAAAGACCAAAAAAAAAAAAAAAATCATCCACCATGATCAAGTCGGCTTTATCCCAGAGATGCAGGGATGCTTTAATATACGTAAGTCAATAAACGTCATAAATCATATAAATGGGCTCAAAGACAAGAACCTCATGGTCATCTCAATAGATGCAGAGAAGGCCTTTGACAAAATTCAACATGCATTTATGTTCAAAGTCCTAGAGGGAATTGGACTGGAGGGAACATACCTCAACATAATTATAGCCATATATAACAAACCCACAGCCAACATCATTCTAAATGGAGAAAAACTGGAAGCATTCCCATTGAAATTAGGAACCAGACAAAGCTGTCCACTCTCCCCACTTCTCTTGAACACAGTGCTTGAAACTCTTGTAAAAGCAATAAGACAAGAGAAGTAGTAATAATTGGAAAAGAAGAGATCAAATTATCCCTTTTTGCAGATGATATGATATTATACATAAGAGACACCAAAAATTCCACCAGAAAACTCCTAGAAATTATTAACAAGTTTAGTAAAATGGCAGGATATAATATTAACCTACAAAAGT